TTGAATCAAATAAATTTTTTTTTTCATTGTATGTACTTTTTAAATTGTATATAATTTTTTATAGAATCTTAGTTTCTTATAAATTTTGCAGTCTCACCAAAACTTGATTAAAGTTTCATAATTATCATTACTCTGTGTAAACTTTTTCAAAAGATAAATCAAAAACTTTCTTCATTTTCTATATAATATTATCATCAAGATGGGTGGAAAAGCAAATAAAGTTTTATTTTTAAACATATAATAATAAAAGTTAAACGAAATTGAGTTAGATACTTTAATATATATAAAATTGATATTTATTTGTCCTTTCAACGAGAAATTCTACATTGTTATATAAATAAATAGAAAATATTTATTTATTGTTTTTAGCTAAGTTCGATAAAAAAAAAACTTTTCATACCTTTTTTTTATAAACAATGGAAAATTGCAATTATTTTTAAATAAAAAATTTTTTAGATTTAAATTTTTTTTCATTTTATTTTTTAGTATTTTTTTTAAAAATATTTTAAAAAATGAACCCTCTAAAAAACCTGTTGATTCACCTTTGGCAAATCGTGAATATTTTTTAAAATTCCTAGAGAACAAAGCTATTTTTAATTGTAATAAATAATAATTTTTATTAAAAATTTTAATTGTGAAAATAATAAAATTTTAATAACTAAAAGAAATTGTTTTGAAAATATGTGATATTAAAAATTGAGAATTGTTTTTTGTTTCATAATTACAAGTGCGATTTACACACATTTTGTCTAAATTAATAGTTGAATTCATTTTGTGCAATTTACCTTAACAGCCTTTAAAGTTTGTTCCATTTGTTTCTTGTTAAGTTTTATATATGATTTCCCTCTGACGCTAAATTTATCCAAAACCAGTTCATGGTCATGAATATTTTTCCGCGAACAGCCAAAAGAATATATATATGTATTATAAAATATAATTATCTAATCCTTTTACTTTTCATCGAGAAAAATACTCAATTACTTTTTTCTCTCATATTTTTTTTCCCCAACTTTAAGGTGATATAAAAGTCTTTTCCATATATAATATCCATTGTAAAAAATATATATAAATTTAAAATGCAGGATTTTGTATTAAAAATCAAATAAAGAAATTTATTATAAAAAAAAAAAAAAATGAAAAGAATAGAAAAAGCATTTTTTCAAAGAATTATTATTCTTTTTATTACAATATATTCTTTTATAATATAAATATATAATATAGAAATTCTTCGAAATTACGTAATTTATATGCACAAGTATATGTTTTTTTTTTTTTTTTTTTTTTTTTTTTGCGTAAAAAATTTATAGAGATGGAAATTTTATTATTTAAAATTTTTAAGCTATTTTCAATGGTAAATTTTCCATTAAATTCTGTAAAATATTACGATCATAAATATACAATTTTTTGTGTATATATATATATAGAACTTGCAAGTTTTTTATGTTCACTATTGCATCGTTGAAAAATCGAAATTTTATTTCCATGAAAAATTAAGTTCTAACGGGTCAAGTTTTATTAGGTTTTTTTTTCCTTTTTTTTTTTAATAAAACAAATTGAGAAAAATAAAAGTAAACTTTTTCATTGGAATTTTTGTCTTTAAATTTGTTAAAAAAAAAAAAATTAATTTGCATTTTATGTTTGTTATTTTTGCTATCTATTATTAATTAATTATAGTTATATATTATTATTATTATTATTATTATTATTATTATTATCTTTGTTTTTTTATTATATTTATTATTATATTATAATTATATATTCTAATAATTATAATAAATATATATTAAGATAAATCGTTGAACGTAACCTTAAAATATTTTTCGAGTTATTATTTAATAAATTTTAATTATTTAAACTTAAAATATGTTTTAAGTTATTTATTTATTTGATTAAACAGGCGAAAAAGCCGTTACAAAAAAAATTTATTGTTTAATTAATAAATTTTAAATAGGTAAATTTAATTTTAAAAGTTATTTATTTAATTAATATTTCAAATAATTGTGATGTTGAATTAAAATAAGTTGCAATTTAATATTAAATTGAATTAAATAAGTTGCAATTTGTTTTTCAAATAAGATCACAATTTTTTCTATTTAAACAAATTGCCGAGATTAAATAAATATAATTAAATAAAAATAAATTAAATAAAAGAAAAATAAATAAAAATAAAGAAGTGGTAAATAAAATATAAATAAATTACAACTGAATATAAATAAATGTAAATAAATATAAATAAAAAATTAAAATAAATAAATTATAATAAATTAAATAAATAAAAATAAATAAAAAAATTTATTAATTAAATTTAAATGTATACTTAATAACTTTAAAATTTTTTTTTTTCAATTGCACATCAGAATGACAGAAAATTTCTATCAGTATTGTTGTTGAAAATAATTTTTTTTTTTCATATACGGAAATTAATTTTTACTTATTTCACTTCCGGAGAAAGAGCGAGCGCGCGCGCCATGAGAGAGTTTATTTTTTAAATCTTGTCAACAGTTAGGGTCGAGTGTCACTTTCTCACTGTTGAGAGAGATGTAGGGTTCGAACGACCATAACGAAGCAACCCCACCAAACGACTAGGCAGCATCAGTTGTGTGTTACCACCCATTTCTCGCCGCTTCCTCTCCGATGTTTGTCCGTTTACCTTGGTATGTTCACCATGAGATTGACACATACGAACACGTGCCAACATACCTCTCACTCCTATATATATATATATATATATATATATTGATGCACCAGATAAAAAAAAAAAATATCACTCCAACACAGTTCATCTCTCTCATCACTACTTTTGGTCCAATTCTCAATTATCCCATATCCCTGGACCTATATTTAGAGTTTGATAGTATTGAGTTAATCAATTGAATATTCACGTTATTTCGATAAATTAAAAATAGATTTTGATTTGAATTAATAATAGTAATAATAATAATAATAATAAGGGATGAAATGATTGCGCACATATTGCAAACTGGTACAGGAGTGTTTTGAAGATATAGTTTTCCTCTCTTCTCATCGTATATATATAGAGAGAGTGAAAAGTGTGACCATTGTATATAATGGTGCGCGCATGTCTCTTCAATGTTGCTCTTGCAGATTGTTTTCTGAAATTGAGAAGGAACGTTGTCGTCGTAACTTGTCGGATTCGATCCTTTGAACATGTTGCGTAATTCAAGGTCATTCTTTTTTTGTTTCTTTAATATATATATATATATACGTATACAAAAGAAGCAGCGTCTTTATAGAATTTTTCTTCGAAATTGTTACGATTGAAATTCATTTTATACCGCGTATGAACAATCTTTCATTTTCGTAAAAATTTTCAAATTGTCGAGTTCACGTCAATTTTCCCAATATTTGATGGTTTTTTATCGTTTTAACTTAAATAATTTTAAATTAGCCTAATAAAATTAAAAAAAGAAAAACCATTGAAAAATAATATTTTATTTTAATAATTTTCTCTCTAAATTTGAATTATAGTTGAAAGTAACTAATTATTAGTAAAATCATTGATCAATTTTTGCTTCAGCAATTCGTGAAAAATTAATAATTATAGTCATTTAATTAGTAAACTAATTAGTAATTTATAAATTAGTAAATTAATTATTAATTAGTAATTTATTAATTAGTAAATTAATTATTAATTAGTAATTTATTAATTAGTAATTTATTAATTAGTAAATTATTAATTAGTAATTTATTAATTAGTAATTTAAAAATTAGTAAATTAATTATTAATTAGTAAAATATAACTACCTATTAATTAGTAAAAGAACTAATTATTTTAGTTATTAATTAATTAGTTAATTCAGTTGTTTTACATAACTTAAAAATAAATATAACTAATAGTTATTTTTAACAAAATAATTAGTAGTAATATTACTATTTAAATCAGTAACTGATTTTTTGCTTTTGAATTAATTATTTTTTACTAATTTGAATCTAGAGTATAATAAAGAAAACAATTTTTTCATTCGATAATAAGAATATAAAATAATAATAATTATAAAAAAAAAAATTTTCTCTTATTTTTCATGTCCGTAAAAAATTGTGTTAATTTTATAGAAATAATTAACTAACTAATTTTGTCGGACAGTCAAATAATTGTTAATTAAAGTTGTTTGACTTTATTGAACATTATCTCTTGTATAAAGCTAATTAAAATTTCTTTTGATCAACTATAATTTTATCATTATGTGAACATGCAATAAAACAAAAGGAAAATTATTAATAATAATAATGATAATAATAATCAATTTTTTTTTTATAATTATAATTTAGTACTTCATTTGTGCGAAAACGCATTTTTATTCATCTCTTTTGTAAGCCCGTTTATGCTGTGTAAATAAATAAATAAATAAATAAACAAATAAATAATTAAAAAGATAATAATATTAATAATAATAATAATAATAATAATAATAATAATAATAATAGTAATAATAATAATAATAATCGCCAACAAACCGTGAATAAATTAAAAATAATAGGATTTCAGTCAGATATGATTTTTTTTTGCATATGAAGTATCAGTAGTAAAATCCAGGTTTCGTCAGACTTGAAATTTTGTTTGCATATTTGGTTTAAGTAGTAAAAGGCAGTTTCGGTCAGACTATAATTTTTCATTTCAGTAGTAGAAGTAGATTTTTGTCAGACATTCAAATTACAGTTAATTTAGTATCAGTAGATAAATCCAGGTTTAGTCAGACTTTAAATATTTTTTTGTATATTTGTTCTAAGTAGTAAAAGGCAGTTTCAGACAGACTTTTCTAAATTTACGCTTCAGTTGTAGAAATAAATTTTGTATCAGTAGTAAAAGATAATTTTAGTCAGACTTGATATATATTTTCGTGTTAGTAGTAAAAGTTACTTTAGTCAGACTTAAAATTTTTTTTTTTTTTTTTCTAACATAATAGTAAAAGGCAAACAGAATTTTGGTTCGAATTTTAAAATTTCGAATGAAATTTCAAAAAATAAATAATACTATAAAATAGTAAAAGCATCGTTATATTTTTTTATTAACTACAATGAAATTCATATTTGTATGGACGGCGTTGATAATCATTTAGTTACAGAAAGATAAGTCGAAAAAAAAATTATTGAATTCTTATCTTAGTTTTCAGTTTGCTTTCGCACACACACACACTTCTTCTTATTCTTTTTCTTCAATATTTACAGAGAATAGCACCTTACTATGTCCAATTCGCTTTTCTTTTGTTTTCACTAACTCTTTGCCATTTTCAACCAAAATATCTACACACACACACATTCACATACAAAAAAAAAATACACGCCCAAAATTGATTACGTTTTCTTAGGTCCTTTCAATTACATTTAAGAGAAAAGTAAATCGAAAGCGAAAGAATCGGACTCAACTTAACTAAACTTCTAAAGAATTTAAGGAGCAGAGAAAAATTTCTCGAGACGAACACAATTAATTTTACGAGTAAAAGTGGGCTGGGCAAGTCTCGTGCTTCTTATCAACTTTTTTGATAAAGAAATTCAGGTTGCAATCGATCCCACATTTCTTTTTTTTTAATCTACGCAATTTTTTTTTTTTTTATAAATATTTCCATAAACAGTTTTTATTCATTTGGCTAATTAAATAATTAATAAATGAATCAAAAATTCAGTCAATTGCACTATCGTTTATTTTTCGTATAAAAGGATTTACGAAATTGAAATCGTTTCGAAAAAAAAAATATATATAATAGATCTCATTTATAATGAGATTGTGTTTAAAAAAAAAATGTTTTTTTCGAATATAGAAATAAATATATGATATACGCCACGTTTGAGCAGATCTAATCACTTGTTCGCGCTTTATTTATAATATATGCACTTGTTTTTTTTTTTAGTAATTTATTCTTCATATACAACTTATAATTATTTATATATAAAAATATTCACGTTTTCTTTAAAAAAAAAAAATAAAAAAAAGCGTTGACCCAGCACCTTTTTTTGTCACCTACGATTTCTATTATCACTATAGCGCTTGCACAATGGTCATTGAATAATTTTAATTCCTTGCAACTCTAATTTTTTCTGAAAATGATTTGCGGGACATTTTTTTTTTGTCAATAAATTAAAATTTTGCAGATTTTTTCCCCACTTGTTTTTTTTATTAATAGTTTCAATTACTGTATATCAAACATAATTAAATATTGTCAAAAAAAATGAAAATTTAAAAAAATTTAAAAAGAATAAAAAATGTTTGTAAATATTTTTTTCGAACGCAAAGAAAATGTTCTGGTATAAAATTTTTATGCAAATGAAATATTTAATTTATAGAATTTTACATGAAGTAAATTTTTCATATGAGTTTCCACTCTCTGGTTGGATCGATAAAGTAAATTTAGAATGCATCTTTGATTTTCTTCGATTTTTTATATAAATAATATTGGAAGGATTCCATTTTTTCGAGAGTTTAAAATAAAAAGGATTATATTTATTTTACATGAGTAAAAAAAAAACTTCTTATTTATTGAAACTTTTTAAAAAAGTTAAATTTCTATATTTTAAATATAGATATAGATATAATATACCATCATTTTCATTTATAATAATTATTATTTAAAATTATTAAGTGATTCAAAGTTTTCCCATAAGAGACTAATTAATTGAGAAAACTTTAAGTTTAAATTTTTCATGTGAGTTTCAACTCTATGTTGAGTCGGTAAAGTAGATCAAGATAAAATTTAACGTCAATGATTTTTTAAACATAAAGCAAATTTCTTATAACTCTTTTTTAATCTTTTGCTTCCTCGTGGAGGAAGCTATGTAGTCCTTTCGTTTATAAACTTTCTAAAAATGGTGAAAACAAATTTTCCTCTATATAGAAACATGTTATATGAGATCCTGATCAATTGTCCGGATGTATGTATGTGTGTGTGTATGTGTGTGTGTGTGTGTGTGTGTGTGTGTATGTGTGTGTGGATAGTTTTTGTGAACACGATATCTTTAACAGATTTTAATGGATTTGGGTAAAATTTGATAGGCTTATTTAACACATTAATCTCTCAAAAATGACGAGAGGATTTTTAAAAATACCCCAAAAAAAAAATTTTATCGTCTTTTTTCCAAAAATTTTTTTGTAATTGAAAAAATTTTTAAATCGAAAAATTTAAGGTAATATATAATAAAATCGTCTTCTTTATGTCAAGATGAATCGATTGATATATATAAAGTATAGATTTGATTGAAATTTAAAGAATTAATGAAAGTTAAAAAATCAAAAATTCTCATTTTAGCTAAAAAATGATGTGTTTATTTAAATTCATGTTTATATATGAAATAATTTTATTCCCTGCATTGAAACGAATTGGTTGGTATATATAAAGTATAGATTTGATTTAAAATTTGAGAATTAATAAAAATTGAAAAATCGAAAATTCATATTTTAGCTAAAAAATGTTGTGTTTTTTTAAAATTCAAGTTCATGAATAAAATAATTGTATTCCTTGCATTAAAACGAATCGATTCGTATATATAAAGTTTATGTTACACTCAAAATTAATTAAAATTTTCTTTATTTTTCAAAAAATTTAATTAATTTAAAACATTTTTAACTCGAAATTTTTTAAATCAATCAATTGAATTAGACAAATTCATTGCTTCCTTCACGAGGAAGCGAATTTTTTGCTTCACAAAATGAGGAAGCATAATGTTTATGAAATAAACATAAAGGACCCCCTCCTTGTTTTTTATGTATTTCTTAATTATGTTTGATATGCAGATGCATTAAATTGAAACTATGTTTTATAAAAACGTTTCGATTTAAAAAAAATATTTATATTTTGATATTTATTGTATTAAAATTTAAAAAAAAACACTTCTAAAACGAAAGTTAAAGCATTAAATTCATTCAAAGTGGTGAGAGATTAAGAGAAATTGAATTTTAAAATAAAATTCCTAAATTCATACGGTAATTGTTAACAAATTAATGTTATTATTCGAGTTACAATAAAATTAAATGTTACTTTTTTTAAAATTATCTTTAGAAAGCACAGCAAAATTTATTTAAAATATTAAAGCTACATAAAAAAAATTAATGTTATTCATTTTGAAATTTTATATAATATATTTAATGTATATATATATATTCTTTTAAAAAATTCTCACTTTGTGAAAATTAATATATTCGCATATATTTTTATCGGCACTTTATTATATTCAAAGTCAAGTAAAAAAAGATTTATGGTATATAAAATCGCGCTGCTTTGGTTAATATTAACAAAATCTTTTTCTTTTTTTTTTTTCCTCAAATTTTTAAATCCGATCGTAATTCTTATTTTCTTTGAAAAGAATCTTTAGCGCGAGAAAAATTTATGCGAATCGACTACTCATTTTTCTCTGTACAGAAACTAAACCGATCGATATTAAGTCGCTGAACTTTACAGTTCAACTCGAAGACTATAAATTTATACGTTGAAGGAAAACATAAATCGAGTATGAAGTGTAAAATTCAGACTTAAAATTGAGTTTCTGGTTTCTTATTTATAGAATATTTAAAAACGAGGGAGAAGGGGCAGTTATCGACAGTTTCGAGTCCTAGATTTCATTTGAAACAATAGAGGAAAATTAAAAAAAAAGAAAAAAAAAAAAGAAAGAAAGGAACTAAAGACTTTGAGAAGTCATTTCTCTATTCTTTTGTATTGTTCCTAAAAGGAAACATCAAAGCATGTGGTTCCAAGATTTTCAAAGGAACAAAAAATTGTTTAGCAAAGATTTCATATAAACTATAAACAATATTGAAATTCAAATGCTTGGTGCAGTCCTCTGTTGGCAGTGTTGTGAACTTAGTTTTCACATCGGCAAGTCTGTTTTAAAAATTGCTGATTCAGGGCCGCACAAATCACACTTGTTATTTTTCACAAATATTTTCAAAAAATTTCTTTAAATTGAAATTACTAGCTTCGAACAATTAATACAGTCGAAACCACTTAGAACGAAATTCAAGGGAGAATTTACACTAAATTCAAAATAAAATGTATTTAGTATTTATAAAATTGTCGCAAAATTTTTTTGCTTGAATTTATAAAATTTATCCACTAATCGGAATATTGCTGTGACTTAGTTTAAACCACCTGTTTACACACAGAAATTAGTTCTAATTCACGAATAGAATCAATTTTGTTACTTACAAATAAAATTTTTTCGTGTTTTTCATTTTACAATATACGAATTTTGATTTTTTTTTTTACTAATTCTGACCAAAACAGTCTGACGTTCGTAATAACCGATAATTATTTTCCGTTCGTAATAGCGGTTTCGACTGTATTTCGAAAAAATGTCTTCTAGAATCAAGGCTTAGATATGCATCTCAGGTTCGGAGTCATCGTGAAACCAATTGGGTCCTCTTTGATCATCAACTCGAATACTTTCTCTTTCCGTGTATCTTGTGGAGCGTGCAAATGAAGTAACCCCCGAAGTTGATGGTAATGTTTGACGTGTGACACCATCGAATGAGGCAACAATTTCCATGCGATCGTTTCGTCTAATTGGCCTTGGTGTTGTTTCGGCAGAACTGCAGGCATCGTCCTCAAAACCCCAATTGGGCAAACCACGCGAGGGCATACCCCAATGTTCAGTGAATTCTGATCCCGAACGTGCGAGACTAGGTTGACTGAGCGATCTAACGAGGGATTCACCCTCGTAGGAACTCAAACTGGTGAGATCGTCTCTCTCGACACGGGCAAAATCTCTAACTGTCATTTCGGACATTGAACGAAGATCTGCCTCGCTACCACCACGGGTAGTTGAACTGAGTCTTCTAATTCGTCCACTGGAATTTGGATGTACTCCCTGTCGAAGATGATCCTGTCCAAATGTTCTTATTGAACTACCACCATCGCTTTCGTACTCGTAAAGAGTCGGTAGGGATGATCTCCTGGACCTATTGTCCCATTCGGATGATTTACCTCGTTTGTATCTCTGTCCACTTTTTCCTTGCGAGGAAGTCGAACTTGAATTCGGTGGACTTAGGATACGAATAATAACATCCCATTTCGCTGGTGGGAATAGTGTAGTATACCTTGCATCCTTACGAATCAATTCGTAGTCTTCTTTAACAACTGCCTCGGTTAACAATGTTCTCAATGTACTCTCACTTGTAATGATTTCACGCCACTTTTTCCGTTCATCTTCGGTGAATTCGGTTGCGTACTGTGGTTCCAAAACTCGTGACAATGTGAACCAATTGTTAGGCGTTGATTCGTGTGGAATTCGATGAGGTGGAATTTCGGCACGTGTTGTATAGGTGGGTTCAATGTTGGTGTCTAGCTCATCAAAACGTGGAGTTGGTTCGTTGGTGATTGTTAAATTTGATGCTGAACTAACATCAGAGAAATTCTCCCAATCGGGTGGTGGCGGTGGTAATTCCTCAGTGGGATAATTTCTAATTGTGACATCCCATTTGGGATCGGGTTTTGCATGATATTCGGTGATTTGACGACGATGACGTTCAACGTCTTCGATTGTTTTCTTTTCGGTGACAGTGCGTAGAAATACGTCGTCAACCTCATGGGTTGTGATTTCGGGTCTTCTTGGTGACATAACAGGCTGTACTAGTGGTTCAACGTGTTCTCGGATATATTGACGGTATTCTTGAGCAGTGTGAGTTAGTGTTGTGGGAACAATTGGAGGTGGTGGAGGTGGAGTGGGTGCGAGAATACTGGCTACTCGGTATTTTGCGTGGGAGGCATCGGTTACTTCCGTTAGAGAGCGTGTGTCTGTCATTTCTGTGTTTAGAGATGCAAGGGATCTTGGTCTGTGAATTGTTGCCAATGGCGGTGATGGTGAGGTTATTGATTCTAAAATCGTTTCTCTTTCGGCTTGCTTTCTTAGAATTCGAGAGTATACGGGAGGTGTTTGTTGTCTTGATATTGAGCTAGGTGGTCCGTGAAGTTCGGGAACGTAGGAGAAAGTCGTCATTGGAGGACGGGAAATTTCTTCACGTTCAAGAATTGTTGTTAAATTACGTTCGAGAGCAATACTGGCGTCTGATTCTGATGGTAGGGGACTTGGTGGCGGTGGTGGGGCTTTCTTGACTCTCATTTGAACATCGAATTTTGGTTCAATTGGCAAAGGTCGAGGTATCATACGAGATGCACTGGTGATTGCTGAGGTTTCTATTTCGTTGATTGTTTCCGAATAGAGAGAACTTGATGCACGCACGTCTGTATGTTGTTGATGATGGATAAATGCCTTTTCGTAGGAGCCGGCTGATGATACAGGAAGGGATCTTGCCTCGTCGATCTAAAAATAAAAAGAAGTAGTAAATTTTTGTTTTTGGCCGAATTGTGAATAAGTAACAAACCTCGGAGTGACTCTCGCTGGGATAATCGCTGGGTAATGTGTCGGAATGATCCGTGACCAAGTTGACTTCACTTCCGGAGATTGATGCAGCAATGTGTAAAGGTGCATGAGCCCTTGGAATCTTTAAATCTCCGAACATGGAGATATTTCCTAATGATGAACCAGAGATCTTTGTGATCTCAGATCCTGTATAGCTTGTTGTCTGACGATGCACGACTCGAATGGGTCTGCGCTTGAGACACATGTATGAACAACCCATTCCAAGTAGCGTCAATGCGAGGAACAGCAGGGAGCAGATGATCAACAAGATATGTAGTCCTGATAAACTTGGCCCTGATGGAACTGCCGGTGGTAAACTGCAAAATAGACAATATTTTTTGTTTCCTCTTATTTTCCCTATAATCAATTTTAATTGGAGAGAGACTTACAAAATGGGTGCCGGTATAGCCACAGTCTTTGGTGGTGGATATCGACAAACTATCGTAATGATCTCGTCTCCGTCCATCTCAAGACTGGGATGAAATCGAACGACAATGTTGTTGGTAAAAACACGTGTTGGATCCTGCTTTGTACCACATCCTATTGAAAAAGATGAATTATGTTTTAAGCGGAATCTAATTAAAACTGTATAATGTAAATTGGTTTTTTGATATCGGGATCTTGATCTCCATACCTTTCAACGGTAATTCCAAGTGAGCAACATTCAATCCTCGTCCTTTAACCATGCAAGCGCTGTTACGATCAACATCCGCGTAGACGATTCCATAGAACGGTTCCCTGAATGTTAATTCCACGTCCATACTGCCTTGGGAACAATTGAGAAATGCCTTGGTGCGATTAAGGACAATGTCTGCCTTAAGTTCATCCAATTGAGTGACCTTGCCATCAAGAATTGTACTTGGCGGTAATCCCGATTCTGGATCATATTCAATGCTATTCCCATGTGTGTCGTAGTTACTTTGGGTCCAAACCCCGGATACAAGTACCCAGAGCAGGAACACCGCTAATGACTCTAACGTCTGGAAAAAAAAATAATATTCTTTATTTCTTCTATAAAAAAAATATTAAAACCCATATACAATTATTTAATTACTGGATACAAAATTTCCAACTATTATTAGTTTAACAAACCGGAGGTTTAAGGTCATATAGGCGAATTCTGTATCAATTAAATATTAAATAATTATAAATAAATGAAGAATCGTTTATATAAATGTATATATAAGGAAGAACAATTGAGTTTTGAAAAGCAGTCTTCCATTCTATGATTTCCTTAATGATTTTTATTGGACTCGGTATTTTTGTCTTCCATTGTTCTAAGAGCATGTGTATTCATTTCGTTCCATTGTGTATCTATATTTAATTTTCGTTGAAAAACATTCATCTTACAAAGAGTTTGAGCATCTTGCATATAGTCGAAAGTGTTCGAAAGAGAAAGCGAAGAGTAAAGTACAACCTGCGGTTAAGTGTATATAACACGAAAAGAAGCTAACCTTGGTCCGAATAAAAAAAAAAGAGTAAAAAAATCCACCACAAATTACGTAATGCACTTTTATAACCCTTTGCATTCATTATTTTTTTTTCGCAGGTGTTTTTTGTATATTTTAATTTGCTTAAAAAAACCAAAAACTTTAAAATGGAAACTTGTTTATATAAATATATACGAAATCCTTTCACTGGAGATTTTTTTTTGAATCTATTTCTAGTTTTTGATTTTTTTCTTGATTCGAAATTGTATTTCCGGTTTTAAAAATGACATTTATTGAATGGATTTTTAATTATTCGTGATATTTTCGTGATATAAATAAATATTTGTATTGGAAATATATATATAACAAGTTATAACTAATCTTTTACATTTGGAAAAAAAAGAGACAACGACACCTCAATGCCATCGAGGTATATATATATACGGGCTAGAATTCCAACTCGTGCTCGACTTTCACTCTTATATTGGCTTGGGTATACTGATCGCTTGTTGCACGTGCTAAAAAGCAAATACGATGCAAGGACGTCGAATAGCCGATTTCAAAAGGATATATAGCTAGGAATTTGTTATTAGGATTAATTGTATTTGTTGTCGTTTTAGAAAGGGTCTGCAAATCACCTTCATAGTTTGTAAATATATAACATTTTGTTATTGTGATCTTTTCTTCTTCATCAATTTTCCTCTTACTTAACAAATCTCTTTTCTTAATTATTACCAAATGATTAACAACTGTAAGTATAAGTCCAGCGGCGTGCATAAATATATATAAAGGAAGATATAGATCCTCATAAATATTCAAAGAGAAGCAATTAAAGATACAATCAGATGTATAGAAGTTTATGAATTGTTGAGTTACAATTGCTGTCAGTTGAAAACATGCATACAAACAATTGGAATCGTTTTTCTTTAGCGTTTATTAAAACTTTAATTTGTAAAAATCAAGATGAATTTTAGAATCAGATTTTAAATGAAGACACAGAAAATTATAAGATATTAAAATAAGCTGCAACGCTCATTATTTTAATTCAATTTTGCTTATTTTAATACCAAAATGGATTAAAATAATAAGCGTTGCAGCTTATTTTAATGCCTTTTAATTTTCTCTAGAAGTTTGGAATTTTGATCTTTAATAATTTGATTTGCGTGTAAAGAGTGAATAACTGATTATTTTACACTAAAATGAAGAGAGTAACGAAAAAAAAACCCCCCCATTTTCCACCACTTCTAGTTTGTGCTTTGGTCCAAGAAGAGAACAGCATGCTTCGGTGAACACCGCGAGCGAAAAACAGTTACCAAGAAAACATGGCCACCGAAATGGTTCTGATTTTACGTAATAATATTATAAGCGGAATATCATCACCGTATAATATTCTTTTACTGCTAGAAAAAGAATTCTAAAACCAGTACCGTTTCTTACACACAATTTTTCAGTTGAGAAAACATTTCGCAAAATACATACATTCATAAAAATGGTATATATATATATAGGTCGCAATTGTTTTTATTTCATAAAAAAGAATTTCATTTAAAAAAGTGGAGATTTTTTCAAAAAATATATTTAAAGAAAAAAAAAAGATTTTGAAAACTGTTACTAAAAGAATGGACATTTTTTTTGGAATAAAAGAGGATTTACAGTTTTGAGATGATTAGGTACATTGAATAGATTAATGATGCAATTCGCACTTTACCAGAAATACAATTCAATTTCCATTATATATGTATATATATATATAAAATGTAATCAAAGTGAGGGGGCGGTGTCACGGTCTCTAGAGTCTACTGGTTTCGGAACATCACCTCCTCTTGATTACACTCATTCAACAAGCCAATTATACCGCTACTAGTAACCGGTCGGCTGACCAAAATCATCTCTACCTACTTCATCGTTACGCATTTAACGGATGCAATTTTATTCTCTCTTTATAAAAAAAAAATACTATTGTATTACAACCTCGGATTTATATTCTAATTTTTTTTTCATAAACAACCAGTATAAAATAACTTAATTTTTTTTTTAAATTTTATTTTCCTATTTTTTAATTAAAAAATAGAAAAAATAATTCTCGATAAAAATAGAAATGCTTTTTTCACGATTCATTGCACTGTGATGGTTAAAGGGTAGGATTACTAAGGAAAAAAAACGAGAGAAAAAGTATAATAAGTAGGAAGTAATTAAATGGAAAAAAAATAAGGTAAATTTATAATTTATTTTTTTTTTTTACTGTACCTTCATGATTTTGTCCCCTTGGCCCTTGTTTTGCGGGGTTTTTTCTACGTCAACCGCATGGCGAGATGCGCTCTGCAAACATAAAGACCGTGACATTAGATTTCGCGCACGTTTTCATGCAAATATATATTCAAACATGAATGTTTCTTATTCGCGTGGTCAAGCAGAAACATCCACGACGAATAATAATCCCGCTTTGCTTTTATATACATATATATATATAGGAAAATTGCAAAAGAGCAACATTAATATCTCAATGCCATATAGCTTTGTGTAACGGATCCCTTGGATCAATTGTACCGTAGGAATTCTCTTCATTCGTTCAGCTATATAAGTTTCATGATAGTAATAATAATATTGCCCTTTTTCTGCATTTTTTTTTTTTGCCAAATATTAGCTATTGAAAAATGGAGGAATTTAGAAAATTATATTTATTACAATAAATTAGTATTTTATATAAGAAAAAAAATTATACCTTTCTACATAATCTATATGCACTAGATAGTTTCCGTATAGTTTAAATTTACAAAAAATTAGATAGTTTCAATGTGATTTAAGTATCTGGAAACTAGATAGTTTGAAAATATTTTAAGTATCTAGAATCTAGATAGTTTTAATATAGTTTCTAAACAGTTCAAGTACCTGGAAACTAGGTAGTTTTAATGTAGTTTAACTATCTAGAAACTGGATAGTTTCCACACTAGTTTAGTTTAAATACCTAGAAACTAGATAGTTTTAATACAGTTTAAGTATCTACAAACTGGACAGTTTCTATACAATTTAAGTAGTTGGAAACTGGGTAGTTTTAATATAGTTTAACTATCTAGAAACTAGGCAGATTCCATACATTTCAAGTACCTAGAAACTAGGTAGTTCCTATACAGTTTAACTATCAAGAAACTAGATAGCTGCTGTACAGTTTAAATATCTTGCAACTAGATAGTTCCAATACAGTTTAACTATCTATCTAGATACAGGATAGTTTTTATACAGTTAAAGTACCTGGAAACTAGGTAGTTTTAATATAGTTTAAGTAAGTAGAAACTAGGTAATTCCTACTTAATTTAACTATCTAGAAACTAGATAGAGCCTATACAGTTTAAATATATTGCAACTAGATAGTTTCTATACAGTTTAACTGTCTAGAAGCTAGACAGTTCCAATATAGTTTAACTATCTAGAAATTTCTATACAATTTAAGTAGTTGGAAACTAGGTAGTTTTAATATAGTTTAACTATCTAGAAACTAGGCAGATTCCCTACATTTCAAGTACCTAGAAACAAGATAGTTCCAATATAATTTAACTAAGTAGAAACTAGGTAGTTCCTATACACTTTAACTATCAAGAAACTAGATAGCTCCTGTACAGTTTGAATATCTTGCAACTAGATAGTTCCTATACAGTTCAAGTACCTAGAAACTAAGTAGTCTTAATATAGTTTAACTAAGTAGAAACTAGGTAGTTCATATACAGTTCGACTATCTTGCAACTAGATAGTTCCAATACAGTTTAACTATCTATCTAGATACAGGATAGTTTTTATATAGTTAAAGTACCTGGAAACTAGGTAGTTTTAATATAGTTTAAGTAAGTAGAAAGTAGGCAGTTCCTACTCAGTTTAACTATCTAGAAACTAGATAGCTCCTATACAGTTTAACTATCTTGCAACTAGATAGTTTCTATACAGTTCAACTGTCTAGAAGCTAGACAGTTCCAATATAGTTTAACTATCTAGAAACTAAACAGTTTTTATTTAGAGAAAATGTAGTTTTAATAAAGTTTAATTATTTAAAAACTAGGCAGTTTCCATACATTTCAAGTACCTAGGAACAAGATAGTTCCAATATAATTTAACTAAGTAGAAACTAGGTAGTTCCTATACACTTTAACTATCAGGAAACTAGATAGCTCCTGTACAGTTTGAATATCTTGCAACTAGATAGTTCCTATACAGTTGAAGTATCTACATGATACAGAATAGTTTCTATACAGTTCAAGTACCTGGAACCTAAATAGTTTTAATATAGTTTAACTAAGTAGAAACTAGGTAGTTCATATACAGTTCGACTATCTTGCAACTAGATAGTTCCAATACAGTTTAACTATCTATCTAGATACAGGATAGTTTTTATACAGTTAAAGTACCTGGAAAGTAGGTAGTTTTAATATAGTTTAAGTAAGTAGAAACTTGGTAGTTCCTACTCAGTTTAACTATCTAGAAACTAGATAGCTCCTATACAGTTTAACTATCTGGAAACTAGATAGTTCCTACACAGTTTAACTATCTAGAAGCTAGGCAGTTACAATATAGTTTAACTATCTAGAAGCTAGACAGTTCCGATATAAATTAACTATCTAGAAGCTAGAAAATTCCAATATAGTTTAACTATCTAGAAACTAAACAGTTTTTAATTAGAGAAAACGTAGTTTTAATAAAGTTTAATTATTTAGAAACTCGACAGTTCCGATCTAGAATCTAGATAATTTCTATATAGTTTCAGTAAATAGAAACTAGATAGTTTAATTTTATATTGATTTTAATGTTTCTACCCATAAGTTAATTAATTTAAATTAGTAAAATATTGTATTTTTGTTGTTTTTATCGTAAATTTTAACTTGATTCGCGACCTCTAAATGTAAAACGATTTATCCTTGCAATTTCCGGATGTTTTAGCAATGAGCTCAGGTGTGCTTCACGATTCAAGTATACTTATCTAATTCTCCCTATACATATATACGTGAGATGGAGGCAGAATAAAAATTACCGAAAGATATAATCAAATAATTTCTTCAGATGATACCACACTAATGATGCTGAACGTGTTTTTTTTTTAGAGAAATTTTTTTTTTTTTCTATACTTGTATATTATGAAGAACAAAAGTCTAGAAAGATACTGTTTCGAGTAGTGCGCCGGCCTTCGCCATTTCCGGTTTTTCTACGATGAGTCTTTGTACAAAGACTTCGAATCTCGTTCATATTTTTGCTTCAGCGATCTTTAAATGATACCTTCTTCTTCTTCTTCTTCTTCTTTTCTTTATACGTTTCTTTTAATTACAATAACTTTGGAAATAATTATTCCACTCACGCTTAGAAATTATATAGTAGAGGAATGAAGAAAAAATAATAAACATTCTCTACAACTTAAAAGAATATTTTTGTGCCGTTGAGAGTTATTTAGAACCACAAATCATTAGAATTTTATAATTTGCAATTATAAAAATAGTTTTTGTAGATTGTTTTAGTTTTGTCTTCGTATTATGTCATATTAAATTTCAACTATTTTATCAGTAAAATATCACTTGATTTAAATTTAGAAAGTAACAAATTAGTCCTGTAGTCACAAATTAATGGTGTAATTACAATTAATAGTATAGTTGGAATTACCGCAAGAATGATACAGTGGTAGTAGTGTCGATGATAACAGTAATTCTAATTGAATGTTTCTTATACTTTTTTTTCTTTTTTTTTTTAATTTAAATCTACTGAAACAAGAATCAAACATGAGTAATATACTGAGAAAAAAAGATTCCTTTTTTTACAGAGACTATCATTTTAAATTGTCTATATATACATATATATTATTAAGTCTCTTGCTACAAGAGCGTGTAAAAAGTAGCAATTTTCTAGACACGTATGAATGACTAAAATTGTGATGACTAATCGAAAATTAACATATTATGTTATTACTCAAACAGTAGTGAAAATTGTGTCCTTATGTATATAAAATTTCCGCGAAAAAGCAAAAAATAAAGTAATTTTTTTATAAACTGATTCATATAATTATATATATTATGAAATCATATAATCTCTTCTTAAGAGATTCAATTTTTTCCCCACAGTGAAAAAAAAATATTCTGGATTTTTGAACACTCAGAAAAAAATTCGTTTGAAGCAACCAAATTTTGGTTAAATCAACAAAATAAATGCATTGATATACAGTTAACCAAACATTTGGTTGCATAAACCAAACGTTTATTTAGCTCAATCAAATTTTTTCTTTGTTCAAAAAATTTATTAAAATAAATCAAACAGTTATTTAGATCAAATAAATATTTATTTGAATTAAACAAATTTTGTTTGAACTAACCAAAAAATTGGGTAAATATAAAAAAATGGTACATTTGGTTCAAATATATCTTTTTTCTGAGTGAATATATTCACTCAGAGAAAAAATTAATTTAATTTACACACAGTGAAATGATTTATTTGAATCAAATAAAATATATTTGAGTTAAATAAACGTATATTTGTCTCAGAGCCTACTAACTTATTTATTTGGTGTAAATAAAAATTTTATTTGTCAGAAATAAATTTTTCTTTGGCTCAAATAAATTTTTTATTTAAATGAAATGAAATATATTTGCAACAAATAAATGAGTTAGTAGGCTCTGAGAAAAATATACCATTTGGTATAAAACATTTCTCTGGATGTAAAATTCATTTAGTTAACAGAAACAAAATTTTTATTTAAAGATATAAATATATTCTAAATTTGACAATATTTTTTTTTTTAGTGCAAGTTTCGTACCGCGAATTCCACATGGGGTTTTCATTGGCTATTATTCATTCTATCTGCGTATAAGATGTACTTACAATTCTTGTACATGTATATTCGTCGGTTATGACTCTCTACGCCTTGCTCAAAAGTTTTTGAAACATGAAATAGCTTTTTCCATGAGGACGTGGCTCTTTTATTTTTCTCGTGTATATATATTCTGTTTCGAGGCCGAAAGGCTGTTAAACATTTTTTTTTCATGTAACTTTTATAAATCACTGAAATTGCATTTTGCTCGTAAATATATGTCCAATGTGTAACTTAATTAACGTGCGTCTCAAAAAACATTTTTTTTCAGTCAAAAATGCTTTCTGATTTTTTTTTTTAATGATTTCAGTATCTAAAAGTAGTAGTATCTTATTTTTAACTTTCTGTGAGGTATTTTACAGTAAATGCCTGTGATCGTTTGTTAACGAAATTGAATTCAACTGTTTCCGTGGTGTAGTGGTTATCACATCCGCCTAACACGCGGAAGGTCCCCGGTTCGATCCCGGGCGGAAACATTTTTTTTTCT